ATATATATATATATCAATATTCAGAAAAATATTATGACAATTGGAAAAACACTATTTTTTGATATATAAAACTATCTATCGTTATATCATATATATATTAATATATTTAATGTTTATACGTTACTTTTAAATGTTTAAGTAAATATTCTGTTTATAATAAACAGTATTAACGACAGTTACCGGCCTGAATGTCTGAGAAATCTCATAGAAAATATGTGTCCTCCGATAGGAATCGAACCTGTATCCTACACGGAACCGTCATATACCCTGATGTGCTATACCATTTAGCTACAGAGGCAAAGTCTGGGCGACCATATCATACTACTGTTTTTAAACAACAAATTCCCCATGGTTTTTCTCGAACGATTATATTTGTTCGAAGCGTATCTTAATCTAAAAAATGACAACATATTTTCTGAAATAGACTAAGTCCAACAATTATTTTAAGATATTTTATTGTTATACGTTATTTATATAGACACAAATATTTCTCGGTCATTCATGCCGATAAATGTTCTTAATACTGTTTATTATAAACACAGCATTTACTTAAAGATTTCTATCTATAAAAATAACATATAAACGGAAAATATATTAAAATAGTTGTCGGAGTGTCCATTTCAAAAAATATATATTTATATGTTCTGTTTTTTGTTTGTATTTTTTGTTTGTTTTGTTTTTTGTATTTTTTCAAAATTAACAGTAAAAAATTTTTGATAATAAAGTGTACTTATATAAAATGCAAGAATCTAATTACCGTAGCTAAAGTTTCATACAGGAAACAACCATCCTGATTAATAAATGCCTGTCTTATCACCATGCGAAAGTCTCGGACGTCTTTTAAATAAATCAGTCAATCAGTCAGTCTGTCCGTCTGTCTGTCTGGTGTGTGTCTCTCTCTCTCTCTCTCTCTCTCTCTCTCTCTCTCTCTCTCTCCATACATACATATATATATATATATATATGTGTGTGTGTACAAATGTATATATTTTCTCTCTCCATACACACACACACACATATATATATATATATATATATATATATATATATATATATAGAACATAATATTAGTGGTAAATATACATATACATATGCAATCATATATCTAAAATATATAAATATATAAGAAATAATTCCAAGAGGATAGAATCCAGGTAGAACTCAATGTCCAGGACAGAGTAAGGATATAATAAAAAAAAGCTTAAACACTAATATTCCATGGTCATAATTTAAATACGATCCAATTCATCAGACCTATATATATATATATATATATATATATATTATTTCAAACGGGATTTTTAACAGATACCCGTACATGCAAACACACGCACACAAACACACACACATACGCATAAATACTTCTAATTTTTTTTCTAAAAGAATTTATTGCATGATGTAAACTTTTGAAATTGTTGTTATATGAAGTAATTAATAAACTGAGGGCTTTTTTTAATCAATTCAACCGAATCCTATAACAGTGAACAAGAGATAAAATTCTACTCTTGTTCAAAAGTCCGGGGAGGAATGGGAACATATCGACTCCTATTAAGGAAAGAACAAATAATTAGTAAATAAAACACAATGGAGACATTAGAAATATAGATTTGATGTAGACTTGGGACAATCTCCTGACAATTTATAGTTATCTAGATATATATAGGAAAGGTATGAATCCTCTTCTTCTCCTTTCAGCTATGGGTAAATAGCAGAATAGACTGGGTTCTATAGCCTTGAATAACAACTGGTCTAGGATAATGACAACTCTTAATCCAAAACCTGCAGAGGCTCGTTTGGGGGCCTTGTGGCATGTAGTGCACCAGGTCTCTGTATTCGGACCTTCAACAAGTGTGGATGCTTCTGCACAAAGCCTTCACCACTATAATCAAATTATATATGATGGTGACTGGCTGTCGGTTCCTCGGAACTGAGCAGCTTGACCCTCATACGTCGAATGGGATGGGTAAATTTTCGCCATTTTACATTTTTAATTTAGAACGTGCGTGTTGTTTGTTTTTGATTTTGTCGACTGCACAGTATTGTTGGGTCAGTTGGGCAGAAATATGGAAACCTCATGCTGTACTGCTTGAAATTCGCGCCAGAATTTCCAATACGAACATTTCATAGTGTTTGGGTGTCAAGCTGAAGACAATGTAGAGGATTCGGAAAGAGTCTACAGCTGATTACGAGGGTACGATGCATCGGAAAACTCACTCTCGTTATGCTGATAAGAAAAGAACTCCCGAATTTGTTGGTGAGGGCTTCAGATTCAACACGAAGGCCTACATCAAATGCCTTGATTGAGTGGTACTGTCCTGGGTCAAGATGGTGGCTGTTGGTAGACCATATGTCTGTACTCTTATGCCACAGATGCAAGAGAACCCAAATATGGTTGTTAGACAATTTCTGCGACAACATAACCTCTTTCATCTGGCCATCTAACTCCCCAGACTGCAAACCCCTTGTGTATGGGTTACGATTGAGCAAGAGACCAACAAAACTCTTTTTAACACCAAAGTTGAATTAAGGAATGATTTATGGCAGCGTTCACCAACTTAGGAAACCGCCTAGAAGGAAATTCTGAATGCGTCTGATAGCCATGGTTGAAGCCAATGGCGATTTTATTGAATAAATTTACTTTTATTTATTTTATTTACAAAACTATCTTGAAATACTAAAGATGTTTTTGTGTAATTTTAGTAAATATATCTGTTAAAATTAGATGTCAGTGTTATTTTCATTTCTGGGTCATTTAGACGACAACTTATCCATCGCACCCTGTATATGTTGGTTGGGTAGGCAGCAAAAATCCATTTATGAATGTTTTATGAAATTTAGTGGTCAAGTCCAGTCTAATTTTCATTTTATTTTTAAAAAATTATCGATTGTGTTGTACATCAAAATTATTGATACTGCGCAAATTTTATGTTTCTTCTGTTTCTTTCTTTGAGAATTTTCTATTCTCTTGGACATTATCAAGTACTAAATGTTCTCAGTATAATAGACAAAGATTTTATCACCACCATCCGGGTATTTTCAAGAATTTTATACATTTCAAAGTTGAATCTAAATCATATATGGAACAGTTTCACAGAGCATATCAGTAACGGAAAATGCATATATTGAATATTCTGTATGTATTATACGCATTTTACATATTTTATACAAATTTTAAAATGAATGAAAGATAAATTATTCAATATGTGTTGCGTCTTATTATAGAAAGAAATATTGTTACAGAAAATGAATAAACCGCTTCAACGAGAGTTCTTTATTTAAGTTTTTTGTTGTTGGTCTTTTGGGTTTTTTTTTTTATTTTATCTTCGTTGGTTACGAACCATTTTATGGGTTCTGTTCAATGCCGTCTGAGCATCTTCGTCTTTGATGAATCAAACACTGTTTTGTCGTTTAATAGATGTCTGTAGGTATAGACTTTTATTTTTGTTTTATGCAATTTTATTAATAATTAATATTTGTAGTTGCAATTTACTGTTCATATGGTATAATATTTTTATATTATCAATAAAGATTTGTCGGATTTTTAGACGGGATTTGCTGATATATTTGTTTATGATCTGCAATTTAATGACGTTACTACCGCTTAAATAGAAAGTTTACATCACAGTTATTTTTGTGTTCTTTAAATTGTTCTTATTAAACAGGTAGACATAAAGTTGACAAACGTCCTGGGTAAGATGATAAAATACGTCCAACAGCAAGGCCTCTGATAAGGAGGTTTTGAGGAGCGTGAAACCACCTCTTAATTGCTGGTGTTCCCAGGTTCACCCTGACCAGGAGTGGTACCACCTGTTTAGGTCCCAGCTATGGGCAAATAGTTAATAAAAAAAACTTGGGTTAAAATCTATGAAAGTGTAAATATAGGTTTTAATACGAGAAATACTTTGTAAAAAATTATTACCAGCAATACATTTAAAAAAAAAATATTACCAGCTATATATTTTTGAAAAACAAATATTACCAACGAAGAAAATTATTACTAGGAATAAATTTTTTGAAAAAAATATTACCAATGAACACAAATGAATTACAAATGAAAATGTTGTCGGCATTAAATAACCCATTGGGGTTGATATGCCGTAAAACAAAACAAGCCAAACCAAACATCAAGTTGACAAGAGAATGTTTGTTTTTTATAATATGTTATCAATTTAATTTCCTTAAATAAGATATGCATCAATGGATTAGGTTTTTAAATATTTTTCTCCCATTTTTTTTGTTATTGTGGAATTGATTTCTCTCGAATAGTTTAATGATGTTTTTTATAGATTTTTATTATCAGTATTATTGTCATATTTGAGTTTAGTTTCATTTCTTTATCTGCTACATGATTATGGAAATCATTCTTAATATGCATAAATAAAATACATATAAAAAATATATACACCCATATAGACATATGCACATA